TCGAGCTCCTAATACGGAAAGTCTGGAGGACAGATGGCACGAGTGTGCGCCCGAATGAGGTGCTTTTTGCGCGGTCCACCCTAATCGGGAGGGACGTGCCGTTCAAAGTTTTCAAGCGTTGGGCACTGCGTGACCGAACGCCTATGGGGCCTTTGCTTAGGCCGATGGGAGCAGCAGAAGTCCCTTATACGGGATACGTGCTGCTGACGATGGCCGAGTATCGGTCCGCCCTCAAAACGAGGTGCATCCGGAGGCCTGGCAAATTCGCCATCACAGTTTTCCCCATGCGACCTGAGCAGGTCTGCAGGGGGGAGATCATGATTGGGATGGAGGGCGCAAAGGTGCCTTTCCTCAAGTTGCCCAGCCCCAATAATGAGGGCGAATTTTATGTTGACGATCGCGTCAAATACATGGACAAGCGCCATGTCGTTGTGGCCATTGACCTAAAGTGGATGGCCATCGAGGAAGCCGCCGGCATCTACAAAACCCGACGCGGTTTGATCGCCGTGCGGGAGGAGATACATGCGCCCTTTTGGCGTGCATGCTATCTGCACCAGGAGGGGATGTAATATACATCCGTCCCTGGGCGGTCCGTGAGTTGAATGTTCAGGGACCGCGGAGAGGGGTGTCATTTTCATGGGACAATGCTCCCATGCATGACTACTGGTGCCCTCGGTGCGCGCATTTGAACATGTATGGCACCATTCTATGCAATGGTTGCCATCTGCCGATTTTCTATCGTGAATGGGTGCCAGGCACCGTCCGCGCTCTGGTTAAGCATGGACAGCCAATCTGGCTGAGCGAACTCAAAGCAGTCCGCCCCAGCAGCTGGCATGAAGGGGAGACCGACGCGTGGGCCCCTCTCATGGCATCGGTAAACCCGATTCGCGAGGTGGTCAGCTGCATGATCACCGGTTTGCGCTGCGCGCCGCATCTTGTGCACATTCCCAATGCGGATATTGTGCAAGTTGCGTTTCAGGAGGTTGCAAAGGTCACCTCAAAGGACACTCACGCCTGTGTGCGGGCGAGTGATGAGGCTCTCGAGCGGTGGGTAGCGAAACAGCTGCTCATCGAGGAGAGCAACACTGGCGTCTCGATTCCCGACAATATGTCTGTCATGGCATATTTGATCGACCACCCGCAACAGGCGGCGCAATGGGGTCGTCATATGACGAGAAAGGGCAGTCTAAATTCAGCATTTGCCCTTTACCTCTCCGTGCATATCTTTGATGCCTATCGCATCGGGATTGAGGACGGGTATTTGGTTCCGCTGTATGGCCTAGGCGCCTCACGCGCGGACGTCATAATGTCATTGGTACAGGCTGAGCGACGCCTCACGGACTTCAATACTGAAGATCCGACTTTCGATGCTTCCACCGTTCTTGATTGGAATATCGACTCTTTGCGGGCAAGTGGTGGATCCATCGCGGCCCCAATTGAGTATGCTGAGGCATACATTTATGTCGAAGACAATAAGGTTGACATGGTCCCCGCTTCGCGGCGCGACGGCCAATGCGCCATTGTCTTTGCTGACCCGCCGGTTGGGAAGCACCACAGGCGGGCAGCCACCCCTAGGGGAGACCAACGGTCTGCCACCCCGCGACCTGAATCCAGGTCAAAGGGTGATCAGCAAAAGGGCAAAGCCCCTGCACAATCCTGGCCCAAGGGCGGAGGTCACAAGGGTGACCAGTTCCCAGGAAAGGGTCACAAAGGTGATCAGTACAAAGGCAAGGGTGGCCAATACGGCTACCAACAAGGGCAGTTCGGTCGTGGCGGATCCGCCAGATCGAGAACTCCCACTGGCGGGTATCAGCCTGATGCTCGCGGGTCGGGATACAAGGGTGCTCAGGCAGCCCCTTTCCCGTTCCCAAGTCCGATGTACCCCGCTTTCCCAATGGGAGGGTACATGCAACAGCCAATGGCTGGCATGATGCCGCAAATGTGGCCTGGCGCAATGCAGCAGGGTTGGCAGCCGCACATGCAGGGTGATCCACGCGAGTTCGAGAATCCGAACTCGCCGCATACCCCTACCTGGGGTGCGGACGATGAGTTGGCCGAGACCGTGCCTCCTCCTCCTGGGGACTGGAACCTCAGCAAGGGGAGGGGACGGCACGGCGGCGGACGACATCGGTAATGCCTGGTGTCCGTCTGCACCTTTTGCGTAGCGGCGCCAACGCGCGCGTGCTTTCATTCCGAAATTCACATAGCGGACAATGCTCCCTGTAGTATTTCTATGTTTGGGGCTATTCGCCATTCCAGAATTCAACTGCATGCGCAGCTGTGCGCTATTCGCGCAAGCTGCGATTACCTGCCAGGTATGAATCGCCGCAGCAAGGCAGTCACTCTCGGCGGTGTCTATGGCCGCTGGTGATCTGCATCCACCTGCACCGCTGCTGCTGCTGGTGATGATGCTCATCAAGGTGCTGAGGTGAAGAACACGGGTGCCCTGCACCGCTGCCGGTGATGTCCTACTCGGACCTGAACCGCGGATCGCTGCTGGCGGTACCCATGGCGGTTGTCCTCGAGTGATCGCGCGCCTAGACGGTGCTAATTTATAACCAAGGCTCATTGGTCTATGCACCATGTTTCAACCAACCGGCCAATGCGCCTAATCCAATAATTAAAGATTAAATCCACTCGAATCGAATGGTTCAATGTGGTTGCAACGCAAATGACAATTCCTTGGCTTCATGCCGGCCATTCCGAAGTTGTTCCTTTGTTCTTTTCTTTTGTTGCTTTCTCTTGTTTGATTTGGCTACCGGCGAGAATCCGCCCCATACCCGTAATTCGGGGTGGTGGCGGGATCCGGGCACCAATGAGTGCCCGGGTATGGGGTCGCGAACCCTGGTAGCCTAATCGGCTTTGTTTGTCTTGTTTGTTGCAGTTCAACTTCAATGGCCAATGCGCCCTTCCAAATTCACTTCCTCTCTTTGTACAGGCGAGGGGGGTGTTTTTGGGGGCATGTACTTTTATCACAGCGCATGTTATTTCCTGCCAATGTCCAATGCGACATTTGGCTCAAGCTTTTCACTGCGTCAATCCCCGTTTGCTGTTTCGTCGCTCATAACCCGCGGCGCGGCACGTCATCCCGCACCTGAAAAAGGACGGGCTGACGCTGCTGCGGTGGGCTTCTGGGCGGAGCAGGTCGGATTGGGGTTTGGTGGTGTGCGTGTTGTTTGCTTGCTTGCTCGCTGTGCTTGCCCGCTCGCCTGCGTTGGTGCTGCTGCTCTGCCTCCGCTCGCTGTCTGCCCTTGCTGGGCTCATTCTTCTGTTTGTTCAACTGGCACCCCTTTTGGTTCGTGTTTGTGCCGGCCGAGGGCAACCGCTTTGCCTTTGGGACCGGGGGGATAAGGTGGTCTCTTCTTGTTGGTGGGTTAGGGCCTGTTTTATCCATCCCGAAACTCTGTTTCAAACCCTTTCGCATGTTGTATTCCTTGCCATTCTTGTCTTTGTTGTCTTCGTTGTCTTTCTTGTCGTTCTTGTCTTTCTTATCTTTGTTGTCTTTGTTGTCTCTGTAGTCTCTGTTGTCTCTGTTGTCTCTGTTGTCTCCGTTGTCTCCGTTGTCTCTGTTGTCTCTGTTGTCTCTGTTGAGTCTGTTGTGTCTGTTGTCTCTGTTGTGTCTGCTGTGTCTGCTGCGTCTGTTGCCTCTGTTGCGTCTTGCGTCTGTTGCGTCTGTTGTGTCTGTTGTCTCTGTTGTGTCTGCTGTGTCTGCTGCGTCTGTTGCCTCTGTTGCGTCTTGCGTCTGTTGCGTCTGTTGCGTCTGTTGTGTCTGTTGTGTCTGTTGTGTCTGTTGTGTCTGGTGTGTCTGTTGTTTGTTGGTTGTTGTTTGTTGTTTGCTGTTTGCTGTTTGTGTTGTTTGTGTTGTTCGTGTTGTTTGTGTTGTTGTTGTTGTTGTTGTTGTTGTTGTTGTTGTTGTTGTTGTTGTTGTTGTTGTTGTTGTTGTTGTTGTTGTTGTTGTTGTTGTTGTTGTTGTTGTTGTTGTTGTTGTTGTTGTTGTTGTTGTTGTTGTTGTTGTCGTTGTTGTCGTTGTTGTCGTTGTTGTCGTTGTTGTCGTTGTTGTCGTTGTTGTCGTTGTTGTCGTTGTTGTCGTCGTTGTTGTCGTTGTCGTTGTCGTTGTCGTTGTCGTTGTCGTTGTCGTTGTCGTTGTCGTGGCCGTTGTCGTTGTCGTTGTCGTTGTCGTTGTCGTTGTCGTTGTCGTTGTCGTTGTCGTGGTCGTGGTCGTGGTCGTGGTCGTGGTCGTGGTCGTGGTCGTGGTCGTGGTCGTGGTCGTGGTCGTGGTCGTGGTCCGTGGTTGTGGTTGTGGTTGTGGTTGTTGTTGTTGTTGTTGTTGTTGTTGTTGTTGTTGTTGTTGTGGTTGTGGTTGTGGTTGTGGTTGTGGCTGTGGCTGTGGCTGTGGTTGTGGTTGTGGTTGTGGTTGTGGTTGTGGTTGTGGTTGTGGTTGTTGTTGTTGTTGTTGTGGTGGTGGTGGTGGTGGTGGTGTTCGTGGTGGTGGTCCAGTGGTGGTGGTGGTTATGGTTGTTGTGGTTTTTGTGGTTGTTGTTTGTTGTGTGTTGTTTGTTGTTAATTGTTTGTTGTTTGTTGTTTGTTGTTGGTGCTGCTGCTGCTGCTTCTGTTGCTGCTGCTGCTGCTGCTGCTGTTGCGGCTGCTGCTGCTGCTGCTGCTGCTGCTGCTGTTGCTGCTGCTGTTGTTATCGTCGTTGTCGTCGTCGTTGTCGTCGTCCTTGTTGTTGTTGTGGTTGTTGTTGGTGGTTGGTGGTTGGTTTTTGGTTGTTGGTTGTCACTTGTTGGTTGTTGGTTGCTGGTTTTTGGTTGTTGGTTGTCAGTTGTTGGTTGTTGTTGGCTGTTGGTTTTCTGGTTGTTGGTTGTATGTTGTTCGTTGTTGTGTGTTGTTGTTTGTTGTTGTGTTTGTGGTTGTGGTGGTGGTTGTGGATATTGTTGTGGTTGTTTCTCTGTAGTCTTATTGTTGTCCGTTTGTTTTGCTTTGTGTTGCATTTTGCACAGGTGGCGCCAACTCCCGCGAAGGCGGAACAGACCCTGCCTCTTGGCCGGTTTGGTGCAGTCGCGTGCGTCCTGCTGAGCCTACGGCACTTGACATTGTCAATGTTCAGCGGGATCATGTTGAGATTGCCTGCGGGCAAGGTGCCTCGACCTGCTGCTGCCTAGGCCGAGCGCTTCAAATAGCGAGGACTGGGCGTGTGAGCCTCCCTCGAGCATTGGATGCAGGAGCAAGTTGTTATATGGATTCTGGGCGGAGCACGGTGCATGCAGAAGTGGGAAGTTGTCATTTAGCTGGTTGGTTGGCCTCAGGACCGCGCACAGGCTGTTTCTCAGCTGGCTTTCTCAGATGCGGCCATTTTGGCTCTGCTACCGCCATTGAACGTGTAGAAACCACTTCAGCCATGCGGTGCCTTCGTCCAAGCTCCAACTTCCCTGCCGGCGCAAGCGCCGGGCCGAGAGGGCTCCGAGGGGGAGGGACGATGCGGGAACTGCCATGGCACTTCGTGACCGACGAACTGAGGCAAAGAGGACCTGCGACAGGCCCTCCGATGGGAAAGGCAGAAAAGTAAATGGCCCCTCGTTGCACGCTATGTTTCTGCAAGGTATAGATTTCAAGCATGCCTGAGGTGATTGTAGATTTTGCCTAGATCCCACCGACTTGGCGCCAGGAAGAGGGCGACGTTGCGCTCATGACCAGCGCCGCTGCGGCTGCCGCCGCGCGTGCCACGGCAGCCTGGCGCCTCTTCCATGGGGAGGCCTGGGCCAGTGCGTCAGGCCCCCGCAAGGTCGCGCACATGGCATCCAAGGCCAGAGAGAGCAATCTTGCTCGACCCACCCGCATGGCGGCGCCGAGGCGTGGGCGGAGGGAGATGTCGAGGGAATGGCATTGAGCCGGCCTAGATGTTGTCAGGCCGCCAGCCCAGGCCCCTCCAAGTCCTGGACTCAGCCGAGCTCCGCGCGCCGTTGCGCGTGGAGCAATCCAAGAGAATGAAGCCGGAGAAGCCACAGGGGCGCTTGCCCTCCCAGTGGCTCTCCGAGGTCCGGAGCTGGGCACCCGCTCCGCAGCGCTGCGGGCCCGTGCGGCGCTGCAAGCTTGCGAGGAGAAGGCCCGGCTGCCGGCGCCAGTGCCGTCGCCCCTCGGCTGAGAGGGATGGAGGGATGGGCGAAAGCTGTAAAGCAAGTGTTCCAAGTGTGTTTGTTAGTGTGTTAGTGTGTGTGCGTGGTGTGTTTTGGCTGTTGTCTTTGGACCCGCCAGGTTTTCAGTTGAGTCACTGAGACTTGATGACTTGCTTCTGCCAGCTCAGGCAGCGTACGCATCATGCCCTTCTTAGTGCCAGAGGTGCCTCGTGGCCAGACAGAAATTGAGCAGTGATTTGCGGCTCTTGGCCAGGGGAATCTAGAATCTCAGCGCCCACATCGCCAGACACGTTGCGTGGCACGCAGTTGCAGGCCTGGCCGCAGGATGCAAGTGAGGGGGCGAGGGCTGCCAAAGTACAAGTGCCCTGAGGCGCCCTACGCCACCGAGAGCCCAGATGCGATCAAGAGCTACACACGGCGGCGCTCCTACCACGAGCACTATGAGAGCGCCTTGGGCCGGAAGCTTTTGTGTGCAAGGGAGATTGAGGAAGGAGAGTGGCCTCACGCGCGTGTTTCCTGACATGGACTGCTTGTTTGTCAGTGCGCATCTCTCCCTCCAGGCCGGGCAGCCTACTTGACGGCGCCCATGACAGGCGGGTGGACTCGTCAGCATCTCAAACACAGCGGGCTCGCGTTCGGCGAAAGAGGGGCCTTTGCTCGTCGGCCTGCTGGCAGGCTCTGAGAGCTTGGCTTCCTTGGCCACTCAAGCCCCAAGCGTCGGGGCGCCCGGGCGGTGAAGATGGCTACGCTCTTCTTGTAGGCCCAGAAAGCGCCGCAAGCCCCAATGGTCATGTCAAGTGAACGGTTTCGACCGGGCCAGCAATGATACGATTGTTCAATGTCTGTGAAGTGGCTCGCGGTGGACTTTTAGGAAGGAAGGTGGTAATTGTCCTCATTTGGCCCGGTAGCCACGCTAGGTACACGAATGTAGGTGCTGGTGGGCCCCAGGGTTGTCATGCTGCCCAAGCTAAGCTTAAGTGCTGATACATGCGACCGTCTCCCCCATCCCCAGACAGATGCCTGCGTGCCGGACTTGCATACTCGGAGTTAGCTCACCGGAACCGCTTCCGCACTTGAATTCTCCCCTGCACACCCGGGTCACAGTATTCCAATACAAGTCCGTGTGCCTGTTGGGAGGTTTCCATAAAATTGACAAAGCCCCACTAACTCAACAGGGGGCCCGCCCGCCTGAACCAAGAGAGGCTTGCATATGAATCTGAAGTGGCATTCTTCCAGCATCACCTGCTGAGCTTGCGGCACCCATTTGTGATGTTTGGTGTTCTGATGATGCTGGCATGGGGCTGGGCTAGGTGATGTTGTCTTCGCAGCCTGGCACCATATCGGACCAGTCTTCCGGAAGGACTTTGCACGACATGTCACTTCGGCCAGCCTTGTTGAATAGGCTTGCGCCTCACACTGCAGGAAGAGCGTGGCCGAGATGGAGTTTAGCTCTGGGCGACAGGCACCTTGCAGATTGCCAGATGGAGCCACGGGTTGGAGCCTACGCCATGTGCAATCCTTTTTCATGAGTCCAGCCTTTCTTGGGGCACCCTTGCAATTTTCCTGCCCCGGGGCCCCGGCCGCGCGTTGGCCCCTGGCAATGCCAGCGCCTGTGCCTGTGCCGTAGGAAAAGACTGCGCGGCAGCGGCAGCAGCCGAGGCAGGCCAGCACTGTGCAGCGCCGCCGCTCCCAGCCGCAGGAGCCGGGCCAGGCGCGAGCGGGGGATGGAGCTGACGCGGCCTTGGCGCGGGCGGGATGGGGATCATCGTATTGGCGGTTTAAAGCTTCAATAGTTTGACACAACGCGTCCTGAGCCGTGGTGTGGTCCACCAGAGGCATCGTTGGACGTTATTTGCTTGCATTTGTTGAGGAATTACGTGTTTTCCCCATCGAACAAAGCTTGCTTGCCCAGTTATTGCCAGCCACGGCCAGGGCTACCGCAACGACAGCGACATGGAGAAGGCTTGAGGGTCTTTCTAGTTGGTGCTCTTTCTAGTTTGTTCTGAGAGGAAGAGGAGCAACAGTACGCGTGCCATTTGCCAAGAGGTGAAGCCGGTGGCAGTGGTGACAGCTGACAAGGCTGCGAAGCTCGAGACGGAGCCATGGCAGCATGCTGTGGGAAGGCCAAAACATGCCAAAGCTGTGAACTTTGAGGCAAGATGCGACTGAAGTTCAGTTTTCTCTGGAGGCTTCCCCATGCGTTTTGAGTTTCTGGAGTTGGTCCCAGGACCCGCTAAAGTCCGGCCTGTTTCGTGCTCGCAGCGTCTTGCCAACCTTGGCAGAGCGGCCGCCACTCTCAGACATGCAGGCTTGGCAGGTTGAGCGTGTCTAGCTTTCGGGGGCTTTCTGCGCAGGCGGGCTACGCCGGGCCGGTGCTGCTCGGCCATCCCATGAACCGCGAGGCCCGCGAGGCCCGCGAGGCCCGCGAGCCCTGGGAGCCGAGCCCTGGCGGAAAGCGGAGCCGCATCGGATGCCATTTTGGCACGTCTAAGTGCAGACTCCTTCATGCTTTTCGCCGGCTGTGTCGGGAATGCGCCTTGGCGCCCTGCCCCCCTGGCATGTTGAAGCGGGGCTCCAACCGTAAAACAGGTAACCATTGATGAGGATGAGGCTATAGTGAGAGCTTTGGGATGTGTTTGGACGCAATGTGATCTTGCTGCACGGAAGTTCGGCCATTAGCGTGGCATATTGTCCATGCGATGCGGACTGCAGAGCGATCGCTGAGCCGAGGAAATGCGATGTGGACTGCAAGACGCAGGTTCCAGCAGCTTGGCTCCAGCGGTAGCTAGTTGATACATGCTATGGAACATCTCCAGCTTTGGAGGTTCATTAAACAATATTTTGAAAAATGCAATAAATGTAAGGAGCTTTGAAGGTAACCCAGCTTGTGCCGCGTTGTTGAGAGCCAGAGTTGTCCATGTTTCCAGATGGCCGCCTATTGTTTAGCGGGCTGTAGCTTAAAGATCTTGAAGTGTTGCTGCTGCTACTTCGGCGTGCATGGGTTGAGCCCCGAGGAGAGTATTTTCAAGGCCGGGCTCGAGGGAAATTGACGTCGTCTCGCTGGCCAGCCCCAGGGTGGGGATTCGAATGTGCTTAGGCCGGCTCAAGGCTAATGGCCTTTGGCCCTCAGAATTATCAGTTGGTGGGAAGGGGGAACAGCAGCTTGGGACTTTTCCACATGCTGAGACGCAAGACCAAGAGGGGCAGTCCAATTCTGTGCAACTGAGCCCAGCTGTGCCAGCCTCGACCATTTTTTGAGTCGCAAGATGAGACAAGCGAACACAGCCAACAAAGCTGCAAAGCACCCGCCTTTTGGAGCCGTGGCTTTCAGCCGTAGCAATGCCATGCGACGGGTGCCAAGTCCACTGGCCTGGGCGCTGGTGCTGCTTTGCCCCATTGGCTTCGTGCCGCCCAGGGCAGCCCCAAGAGCTTGCAGGGTGAGATGTTCCGCAGGCCGGGACCAAATTGGGCTAAGGGGAAGGGGGGGAAACCGGGAGCATGTTGCGAAGTCCAAGGCAGGGAATTCGAGAGAGGCGGAGGTTGAGTTCTGCACATTTCGGGAGATCCGGGATTGGCTGTAGGAAGTGAGCCTGACTCGGGCTCTCTGTCACTGTGGCTCCTGGAAAATGGCGCCAACGTGAACGGCAAGGCGGGTGTCCAATCAGACGCCACCGGCCGGGGGATTTGGGCAACGGCTGAGATCCAGAAGGGGGAGGAGATTGCGAAGGTCCCCGCAGAGCTGTTGCTTACCAAGGCGTCGGCTGTGAAGACGCTGGGGTCTCCCATCGCCAGCCTGGGTGAGTACCCGGCCATCGCCTTGCAGCTGGTGCACGAGAAGTATGTGCTGAAGGAGGACTCGTTTTGGCACCCCTACTTGGACATGCTGCCGGGCCTGCAGGAGATCGGGTCATCCTTCACGTGGGCGGAGGAAGACATGGAGCTTTTGTCAGGCAGCCTTATCAAGAACATGTCAAAGTTCCTACGCGAGAGAATCGAGGGGGAGTACGCGAGCATTCGCGATTCCATTCTGGCAAGAAACTCAAAGCAATT